GGGGGGGGGGTGGGAAAGCCAGAAAAAATACAAAACAAATACAGCCATCACAACTAAGGGCTGGTTAGTTGTGATATATTTTTTTGTATAATATTTCTTTATTATTTCTATATATAACAATATAAACATATAAACATGTAAGCATCCTGTGGCAATCCCAGGAAGAAATCCAATCAAAAACAGAAAAGAAAATATTCATAACTTCTTCCTAAAACAACCACCATAAATTTGTTTGTGGTTGTTTGTGTGGTTTTAGGGTTGGAAGGGATTTTGATTTGTCGTTTCCCTTGCTTTTTTTTTTAGTTGTGATATACTACATTTTTCTTTATTGGGTTTAGATGCACTTTAACCCTGTAGTTGCCGGCGCCGTATCTCTTATGCTGTTGGCCCCCTGTAAACAGACTCCCAGCGACGACTGTCGGCTTTACAGTAGAAGCGATTCTGACAGCTGAGGTGCCGCCAGATCACATCCACGGGCCACTGAGCAGTGTTCTCCCAATGCCCCCGACAACCCCACCTTGTTTCCTGGGCTCTGCTGCCATTGGGATAATAAAGGCTTTAAAAAATACAAGTTAAAACCAATGACATTTTAAAATCCTCCCAAAAAATGACATTCCCCCAGCCCACACGAACACGTGCATTATAACGTAAATAAGCATCAGGTGCACCAACATAAGAAAATGGCAATTAGGCTACACATGTAAGGCACCACCGTGTGTGCCGGAGAGAAATAATTCTAGGGTCAATCTTCGTGGCCAACACTAAACTGATAACCTGCACAGGTTTTTAAAGTGTCGCCTACAGAAAACATAGGGTACCATATTTTGTCACCGTTTCATGGGCACACACAATTTTTTAAACCCTGCCGTGCTGGGTATCTATTTACGCTGCACAACTTCATCTTTTATAAAAAACAATTGGTTACTATATTGTGTGTTTTTGTGCATTAAATTAACTTAAGTGTATTTTTTACGGAACGTTTGTGTTTTATAAAGAGTTGCACTAATATCACACAGGCTTGAAACATGGATCATAACGTGTGCAAAACACGAAAAATATGCCTTGGCAGCAAAAGGGTTACGCGTCTGTTCACACCAATGCTGTGCATTAATCAAACGGTACTGGGCAACACACCTACCGTGCATTACAGTGCGAAAAGTGTGCCGCACTTCCACTCATATGAATGGCACACCCAAAGCACCACCTGGCCGCAATCTGTGGTACCAACCGCACTGAGCTTAAAAAAAGTAGTGCATGCATCACTAGATCATTATAGCAATGATTTACTGATTTTACTGCTTCAGCCCTGCCCAAGTCTCGATACTGACGGAGTGTCATTATGTCATTTGTGACTTCACTTCCAATGTAAACACAATAGGGAAGCATTGAGTTTACATTCTTGGCTAGAGAGAGTTGTCCTATTGAGTGGTCTGTAGCAGGACCAGAAGCCCAGGAGCTGATCACTTCAGCCTTTGAGTTTAGTGTTGGACCCTGGCTGTCACCATCAGCTAGCAGTTCCAGTGCTGCAGTCTTGATACAGGACAGGAAGTGGAGACATTTCTACAACAGACACAAAACACATTTAAAGCAACAAGAGGAAGGAATAGAATTTCTGGCAATTTTTTTATTGCTGCCTGTGCCCTTCTGTCCCCAGAACATCTGCATTCCCCATTTCTTGCATGGAAGTCATAGGAAAAGGAAGTAAGGAAAATCTGATCATAGGCAGAAATAAAACCATGGCAGAAATTTAAATTCTTCCCCACTATATAAAAATAAAATCTGGCTGGTACTAGTCTTTAAGTATACGGCTGCTTTAAATGCATATTGTATGTGCATGTACACACATATATACTCACATACACACACAGTCATAATTACACATACAACAACAACAACAGAGAAAGAGGAAGGCATAAAATGAAAAGCTTTGATGCAAGAAAGGTTGTCCTTATTAGAGATATACACACAACATCACACAGATAACCATTTGTTCCACTGTAATCAAACCATGCAGCAAAAGCACATTTACAGCAGTATTTTTATATGGAATAAGCAAGATCTTCTTTTAGTAATACAGCCTCACTAACATGTCAGAGGGCCAAGCATAAAAGGATTAAAAGTAACTGAATTCCAAAGAAATATAGATCATAGATAATATTTTATTTATGTTGCAACTGACACATCACATTGCTCCCTGTGTCTTATTGAGGTAAAATTAAACTCTCCCGCAGAGAGTTGTCATTCTTGTGAAAAATGATTGACACATACATCACAGTAGTAAAGCTACTGAATGTGTTTTTCTGCAGTCTGTGAAATACATAAGATCAGGTGGAGAGAAAAGAAATTGCCACCTTGTTACCCTTGAGCAAATAGAATAAAGGTGGTTCTGTCAAACTTAATATATTTCAATAGAAATTACAAAGCAGAGGAAGACATGTCTACTCTATGTTATGTATGACTGAACCTTGATTATGTGTCTTTTTTTTGTTGCTATGTCAGTCAACTACAAACCATCCGGTTGGGTAAAGTTAGCAATACATGATTCAACACTATTTTTTAAGACCACTAAACAAAAAGTATTTGATAGAGATAATAACACACATATATTCATACCTATGGTATTTTTTCTCTAACCATATTTTGATTCCGTTCTAAAGGAAGGAATAGGTCAAGCAGGATGATCTTTGATATCTAATCAGAAACGTAGGGGACTATTTATAATTCTTCCACCCAGCTATACACTGGCGAATGCGGTTCACATGGCATTCCTGCCGC